GATCTCTCTCTCTACTTCGGTTACACGTCCATGCACCGCCTTACCCAGCACTGCCCGTGCGCCTTGCCCTAGTCCTCGAGGACTAGGGCCACCGACTCCGCCCGCGCTTGACCGCCTGCCCTGCTTTCCGCGCACGTCTGCCCATTGGCGCCGACCTTGCCCGCGTCCTCGTCACATCGCCCAGCGTCGCCGCATTCCTCATGGATTGGGGTCTCGCGCGCCTTACTGCACGCCTCGAGGTATAAGGCCTCCAGCCCCGCGCGTTCCTCCCATCGCGCATTGTTCGCGCCCGCGCCCGTTGCGCCCGTTGCTCGTGCGTGCTGCGCCCTACCGCTGAGCATCCCGCGCGCGTCGTTCCTCTCGCGCGCGCACACTTCTTCGCCCTGCGCGCCTGCTGTGTCTATTGCCCGCACACTATCGTTAGCGAGCGCCTGTTCGTCCATCTCCGGCCCATTTTCGCTCGCCTTGTGCGCACTATACTCAAGTGCGCGCATTTCCGCTGTCCCTCGTGCAAGCCTCTTGCGTGTGTGGTAAGAACGACTTGCGGCGTTCTTGAGCCGCTTAGCCACTTCCGCATCATTCCCGTCCCCTTCAAGCGATTCCTTGTCCTCAAGGATGAAGTTCGGGAACTGATCGCGCATCTCATCAAGATCTTCCCACGTGGCTTCCTCAGGTGGCAACTCTTCCCAATCAACTAGTACTTCCCAGCGGTAGTGCCCTGCTTTCTTTATTTTGCGATACTCAACCGCACGTTTTGGGCGTACAATTATCCTCCCATCAGTCGCAGTTGCCGGCAATTCCTCACAATACTTTTGTGCTTCTCCTAGACTTCTCTTGAGCTGCGAGACATGGATAACCAGGTGGATCTGCGAACTTTCTTGCATTTCTAAACGATAAGCTACCTGACCAATGCGCTTCAGGATCTGATAAGGCCCATAGTAGCGAACTCCAAGCTTAGTCGCTGCCCTTTGTGCTGTCGTGCGCTGCCTGAATGGCCGTAGCTTCAAATAAACATATTCTCCCGGTGTAAAGCTTTCCTCACGCCTCTTACCATCCGCGAAGGCTTTGGTTCGATTAATCGAGCCTTCAAGATTTTTCTTTAATTCTCGCAACATCAAATCTCGTTCCTCAAGTTCTCGACCAACCTCATCGTTGACCGTACTTCCCTGCGAATAGTTAATTAATGTCGGGGGTTTTCGCCCGTACACCAACTCGAATGGCGTTATCTTGTTGACTCGTGATAAGTGGTATTGTACCAATACTCAGCCCAAGGCAAAAAGTTTTCCCACCTTTTTGGAAATTGATGGACATAGCACCTTAAGTACTGCTCAAGAATTCGGTTGGTTACCTCGGTTTGTCCATCTGTCTGTAGGTGGTAGGCCGAGCTCATAGATAACTTAGTCCCTTGTAACTTGAAAAATTCGGACCAAAAGCTGCTCATAAAGATCCAGTCTCGGTCAGAAACGATAGATCGTGGTGCTCCGTGCAGTTTCATTACGTACTCCACAAATAGCCTGGCAATTGACTTTGCCGTGTAAGGATGAGTGATGGGTATGAAGTGAGCATACTTAGTGAGACGATCCACCACGACCATAACACCGTCAAATCCATTAGAACATGGCAACCCTTCAATAAAATCCATGGTGATATCTTCCCAAACAGCCTCGGGTACTGATAATGGTTGCAGCAGCCCACTAGGTCGTCGTGAATCAGCCTTAGTGCGTTGGCAATCGTCGCACCGTGCGATGTAATCTCGGGTTCTACTCTGCTTCCCTGGCCAAAAGAAGGTATTGGCTTTTCTCATCCATGTGCGGTAGATAGCCGAGTGGCCACCAATCCTGGAATCGTGGAAGTGCTGCATGGTCTTCTCACGTAACTGCCCACTGTCGGGAACGAATACTCGGCCTCGATGTAGTAGTAGGCCATTGTGCAGCTCGTGATCTGCAGCGGTTTCTCCTGCTTCAGTTTTCGGGCGCAACTCTTGGCAATAAGCATCCTCCTTTTGCGCCTTCCGAACTTCCTCCCAAATAGCCCACGTTGGTCCAATGATAGCGCTAATTTCAGCCACATCAGTCCGTCAGGATAATGCGTCGGCTACAGCATTCTGTCGTCCTGGTCGGTAGATTATCTCGAAGTCAAACCCCATAAGTTTCGAGACGAACTCTTGCTACTCGGGGGTGACAATCCTTTGCTCGAGTAGATGCTTTAGTGGCTGCTGGTCGGTCACAATCCGGAACCTTCGCCCCAATAGATAAGGCCTCCAGCATCTTACAGCTTCGACAACTGCTAGCATCTCTTTCACATACACAGATAATCCTAGTCGAGCTGTGCCTAGCGCCTTGCTAAGATAGGCTAGGGGTCGTCCTTCTTGCACTAGCACAACTCCAATCCCAATATCACTCGCATCTGTGTGTACCTCAAACAAGACATCAAACCTAGGCATGACGAGTACTGGTGTCGTAGTCATGGCGACTTTCAGTTTCTCAAACGCTTCCTCTCTAGCCTTGGTCCATGTGAACCCACCTTTCTTGGTCATCTCTCTCAATGGTTTGGCGATGGTCCCATAATCCTTCACAAACTTTCTGTAGTAACCAGTGAGTCCTAGAAATCCTCTCAGCTGCGTGAGACTTGTTGGCTTTGGCCAGTCGATCATAGCCACTATCTTTCGTGGATCAACCTTCAAGCCGTTGTAGGATATGAAATGACCTAGGTATTCAACCATCTTCTGCCCGAATGAACACTTGGACGGTTTGATGTGAAATGAGTTAGCTTCCAAGATTTCGAGCACCAATCTTAAATGCTCCGGATGTTTAGCCCATGACTTCAAATATATCAAGATAGCATCAAAGAAGATTAGAACGAACTTACGTAGATACTCCTTGAATATGGAACTCATAGCAAATTGAAAAGCAGATGGAGCATTGCACAGTTCGAATGTCATCACCAAATACTCATAGTGCCCCTGATGTGTACGAAAGGCTGTCTTTGGAATATCAGCTTTGTGGAGTCGAATCTGGTGATAACCAACTCTCAGGTTGAGCTTGAAGAAATATCGTGATCCAGCTAACTCATCGAGCATGTCGTCGACACTAGGAATAGGAAATCGATCCTTGATAGTCGCGGCATTCAGAGCCTGATAGTCAGTACAAAACCTCCACGTACCATCCTTCTTCTTAGCCAATAATA